TGGTCGAGTGAAATTAATAATTATAAGTTTACATTAGAAATATCTATATACAAAAAAAAAAATCAATAAAGTTGTAAAAACGTATATTTCTTATTATATATTATTTAATAACAAAATGAGTAAATAGGATAATATAGTTAAATATCATAATTAACATTATAGAATTTGATAATAATCGAAATATATAATTTATCTAAACATTTAAATTGGATATTAATACACTCATTATATATGATGAATAAATTTACTACACATAGAACTATAGACGAAAAATTTAAAAATAAAAATAAATAGCTTACTATGAAAGAATTTGTTGCATAAGCAATTGAAGTTACTACGATTTAAATCTAATTATCAAACAATTAATATTTCATCATCTAAATTATACGGAAAATAAATTTTACAGGTTATAACATTATTTAGCTATCGAGCAATATGCAAAATATGAATTGTTGAAAAAGTTATAAGATCAAGATAATCAGTAATTTTACAAGTTATATAAACAATTTGTATACAAACATCATATTTAAAATCTAGATATTGATACAATTATAAACTTATAAATTGCAATATTTATATATTAAATAATCAAAACATGTATAAATAAATTAAAAAAGATTTTCAAACAAAATTTTTAATTATTACTGACTTGATATTCGGACATAATTATCATGTTGTCTAAAATAAATTAACAATATTTGAATAATAAAATATTAATTTATAGTATACCCCGTGCATCGCACGAGTATCAACACTAGTTGTTTCGAGAATAACTGATGTTATATTAAATATTGATAAACTTCAATCCTCCATAAATTATTTATATTTTTGTATTTTTTGTGTAAATATATTGATTTGATTTTCTTAAATAATAATAAATTAGATTATTTTATGACCTAAACCTTAACTTCTTTTGTATCTATTTGTGGTTTATATTCTTTGGTTGAAATATATATGACATATTTGATTGAAATGACTTATTTTCTTTAGGAATCAAATTTAATGAGATATCCCAAAATACTTGGAGATTCTTAAGGCAACAAATTTGAAGTTTTTTATGCCAAAATTTATTTAATTTCATAAATACGAATCCCTTTTTTTTGTAACAAATTTGAGATTTTATGCCAAAAAATTGAGATTTTGAATTGAGATATCCCCACAATTACGGATTTTTTTCCATTCAAATTAATGATGCAAATCAAACAAAAAACTGTTCCGAGAATAATGGATGTTATACTAAATATTGATAAACCCCATTCCTCCATAAATTATTTATATTTTTGAATTTTGTGTGTAAATATGTTGATTTGCTTTTTCTTAAAAATAATACTAAATTATATTATTTTATCACCTAAATCCTAACTTCTTTTCCATTTTTTTGTGTTTTATATTCTTTAATTGAAATAATATATGACTTATTTTATTGAAACAACTTATTTTCTTTAGAAATCAAATTTAATGAGACATCCCCAAAAAAATGAAGATTCTTAAGGTAACAAATTTGGAAATGCTTATGCCAAATTTTAATTCATTTCATTACTACCATCCCATTTTTATTGATAAAAAATTTAGAAATTCTTATGCCAAAAAATTGAGACTTTGAATTGAGATATCCCAACAATCATGAAATTTTTTCCATTCAAATTAATATTGCAAATAAAAAAAATAACTGTTTCGAAAATAATTGATGTTATACTAAATATTGATAAACTCCAATCCTTCAAAAATTAGTTATATTTCTGAATTTTGTGTGTAAATATATTGATTTTTTTTCTTAAAAATAATAAATTACATTATTTTATGAACTAAATCCTAACTTATTTTATATTATTTGGTGGTTTGTATTCTATAATTGAAATAATATATGACTTATTTGATTAAACAACTTATTTTCCGCCATATAATCATACAATATAACGAATTTGTTAGTTTACAAAAATTCACGACCTAAATATACATCTATGAATATACAAAAGGCAAAACATTTAGCTGTGAATAGTATGTAAAATCCCGCCTAAAATTTTCGTTTTTACAAATAATGGGTTTATAAAAAGAACGTAAATTCTCACCTAAAGCACAAGTTGATTTATATATATATATAATTGAAAATCCGGGCAAATCTCTACCTATGGATATTACTTTATCCGTATTTATTCAACTACAAAATCTTTTTAAACTTTGGAGAAAATCTCATATTATGTGAATTATTGGTAAATATTTTTTTCTCCCTATTTATCTAACTACAAAATATTTTTAAAGTTCAAAAAGAATCCATCTTTTTACAGTTCTCACTCAATCAATCCCTTATATAATCCCTCCCCACTCAATCACAAAATCCTAAGATTGAGACAAAAAAAAAATTAAAAAAAAATCAGTTAGTCCCAAACAAAAACAAATCACAAAAAACCCTAAATTAAAAATTCAAAATCAACCTATTGAATCCTAGGGTTTACTTTGAGATAACAATCAGCAGTCAACCCCGCCGACTGAATCGTGATGGAGCTCTTCGTTGAATGTCGTCCCGAAGACCGACGAGAACTTCTACTCCATATGCACTGGCGAGAAGGGTGTCGGCAATCCCGCAAGCCCCTCCACCTAAAGGGTCATCCTTCCACCGTGTAATCCCCAATTTCATTTGCTAGAGCGGCGACTTCACTGCGGGTAACGACACTAGTGGCGAGTCGATCTACGACGCTAAGTTCGCCGACGAGAACATATTGAGAAAGCACACCGGGACCTGTCGATGGCAAACGTCGGGCCGGGGACAAACGACACACAATTCTTCATCTGCACAACAAGGAAGAAGTGGCTTGACGACAAGCACGTGGTGTTCAGGCAGGTGGTGGAGGAGTATGACGTATTGAAGGCGGTGGAGAATGTCGGGTCGGGGAGCCGCCAGACCTCAAGACAAGTGGTGATCACTGACTGCGACCGACTCCAGATCTAATGGTTGTGTGTGTTTAATTTGAAGTTTGTTGGAGTCTTTTTTTCATTACTACCTTATAATTGTCTTCTGATTTGTTAAATTTGAAATTAAAAACTAGTTTGTTGTAAACCTTTTTTCATAACTTCCTAATAATTTGTCTTTCAATTTGTTTAAATTTGAAATTAAAAAATTAAGTCAATGTCATGTTTGTATGACTCTGGAAATCATATAAGAATTTTGTATTATCTTATCGATTAGTTCCTAAAAACATGGCACGTATATACCGTCATTTTCAAATTTAAAGTTTTAAGATTACTAATAAATATTTCATCAAATAGTCATATTTATCTTTTTAAATTTCAAGTTTTTAAGGATACTAATAAGTATTTTGTCAAATGGTCATAGTTATCTTAACACATTTTATCACACTAAAAATAATATATTATGATTTATCACACTACAAATAACATGTTATAATTTATATTTTTTCACACAAATATTTGAAAAATTTAATTTGTGGAAATTAAGGTTTGACATAAAATCATAAAAAAAGTATTGTGTATAGGGATCTGCTCAACAATATATATTTTTTCATACTTTGTATTTATTTTCTTGCCAAAATGCGATGTTTAATTTTCAGTAATTATGTTTAACATAAAGTTTTAAATTGGTTTTGAGGAACAAGCCTCACCATGCATCTCATGGGTTGCTCACTAGTATTAGATAAAACATTTTGCTCATTATAATTTATTTTTTATATCAAATAATGGAGAAATATTTTTATAAATAGTATTGACAAAAAAGTGCATGTGATTTCAACATTCGCTACTTGTTTAGTCCTAATATACTTGAGGTGAATTATAATAATATTGTTAGGTCGAAAGAAAATATAAAGACACTTATACCAAGCTATAAAAACTCATAAGAATTTTATGAATATGTATTTTTATATTTATACTTTATTAAGAAGTAATATATTTGTTTTCTAAAAACAACTAGGCCCTTCCTCATTTTATTAGCTAGATCCCCTGAATATGTGGCAACCAACAAAAGAGAAGAAACCATAATATATTGGAAGAAAGAAAAATATGTTAGTACCGCTTGGGCAATTATATC